CGTCTGTTTCCTAATTGAGTTTCTTCCTTCTATGAATGTTCTAGTTACCCTTTAGGTTAAATTAAAGCCATCTGAGGTCCCCCGAAGCTCAAAACAAATAAATTTTTGAAAATATGAATGGTTTATGAAGAAGTTTAGGCTAAAGAATATCGCAGTTTCCTTTGAACACAAAAGATAACAAATTGACCTCGCGCTCAGAGCTAATTACTTTCTCATGTTTTAGGTGACCCAATTTGCACATTTCTCTCATTTAAGATTAAATATGATATTGCGCATTTCCTTGTCCCCTGATCTTATCGTTGGAATCAAAGTATTGAAATTTCTAATCCGCACTGAAAGTAATTCAAGGCAATTTCCTCTGTAAATCATTATGTCCTTTTGATCTACGTATACAACCAAATGAATGTCTGGCGTCTTTCTTTTGATACAGTGGTGAACCTGTGGTACTAGGGATCAACACTTAACAGTGGAGCGATATTTTGAGTCACTTCTGGAGAAATGTAAAAAGCGTAACGATAGTTTCATCCTACCCCTCCCCTAACCCAGCACAAACCCTAACTTATTATCAGTTGACTGTTATTGGGTTAGGGGAGGGGTAAGTGCACAGTTGTAGTATCCGAACAACGATAGTTTCATCCTGAAGGAGACCACAACTAAAACATATGTTTGGTAAATGAGAAAAACACAAAAGAAGCAATAGTATAGGAAGCTAAGAATACAAAGAGTAGGGTGTATCGAATATACCTTTCCCATCCTCTACAGAGCGGTCCATAGCCGGCTATTCTAAACAGGGCACTGTAAACTAGGGACGGGGGGAGAGACCTCTTCCATGCAACTACTCCGCCAGTGTTTGACTTATAGCTCTCAAACTTAGCGACTTTACATCCAAGACACACACGCGTATCTTTAAATCGTTAAATGTCAACATAATTTCACTAATTTTATGGTGCTCTCTCCCGGCGATGACCAACTTGGAAGTAAAAGAAAAGATTTTTGAGAATTACACTTTCTGAATTCCCAAGATCGCGCGCGAAGTTCAATGCCCAACGTACTTTATGAAATACCACATCATGAAAGCAACAACTATCAAATATTTATCAGATTAAATGTTTACCACATCAAGAATAGTTAGAATAGCTTCAGTCTTCAATCAAAGCACTCAAATCAGTACCATTACGTTCGTAAAGATAAAAATTCACGTATCTCCAACTCCATTCAATGTAATTTTATAGGCGTGAATTTGCGTAATTTTAAATGTAGTGTATAAGTCATACATATTTTTGGGACGGCTTGAAACAGCCAGAGGGGCATCAACATGATTTAAGGAGAGCAATTTTGTACTTGCAAAGGCGAAGTTGAGCCACTTGTGAATATACCCGCGAAACAGACCCGACCAAATTGATGCACCCACACTGATGAACAACGCTGTAAAGCGAGAACATTCTTGAGAGGAAAGGAATAGCCTGTATATGAATGGGATAAATCTTGACACTAAACAGATTAAATTTAATCTCACTCTACAATACACCTGTAGGCTTCAATGTGATTCAGATAAACTGACTGGCTCAAGGTTAGGTGTGTTTGTGTGTCGGCTCAGTCGGGAAATCTTTACATCAGATATTGCTGATAATCCGCACGGTGTTCCTCTGCGGCGTGTCTGATTGAAAATTTGCGAACTAGAGTCAAGTTAACCCGAGTCTAAGTTCGCGTCACCGAACAGAAAAATCCCAAAAGACAGATAACAAAAGCTTCATTGTCTTAAAAAATCTTAACCAAAACAATAGGCAAAGTTTGATACGCCATGCATCGGATATAAGTTTGTTTCATATTCAAGTGGGATTATTGTATTAACGAAGTCTACCTTTTCCTTTTTACAAAGTCGGTTTATGCCACGCATTAAGTTCAACACAACCTGACCAAGAGTTGAAACTGACTCGTGCCTCCATTTTCTTAGTCACTGTGTCAGTATTGCATTCCTTGATCAGTATTCAAATGCCACGCATAGGAATCGCCCTAAAGCTGAAAGCTGGAAAATCATTTTATCTAAATATTGATGTTTTCGACTAAGAGGCAAGAGTGAGGACTAAATGGATTTAAGATAAACTTAAGAGAGAAAAGAGGATTACCTTAATAATTACAGTTAAAAATTAGAACCAATTAGCGCTAAAAGGACACCGAAAACGGACCCGGATTAAAAACTGAAGAGGCTGTCATCGAGGCCACCCAAAAAATCGCCAGCGGTGTGTGCTGCCCTCCATAAGTGATTCAGATCATATTCAAGTAGAGCATGTGAAAGGATTTTTCTTCCTTGAAACTTGCCGTTTGCCAAAACAACTTGCATCAATCAGTCCAAATCAAGAGAAAATGAGGCCATGTCCAAGTATATCCCTTTACTGACACAACCCCAAACGAAACGGGAAAACAGAAAAGAAAGGCGCAATTCTCAATTTAGAATGCCGTGGGAACTGGAATTTGAAACTTTTATTTAGAGTGAAACATAAACCTTTTTGAATGGCCAGCAAAGAAAATGGATGGAATTTGTATCAAGCGTTTATCATAGTTTGATGGACGCTGCCTCCGTTGATTAGCTTTAATTGTTTATTGGATTTATCTGGTTATTATCGGCTTTGATATATTCAAAGTGTCATTCCATTTGTTTTTCTTGTTAGAATGACAAGAGACATAATTAGGGACGGCTGACTGTAAAGGAAAGGGCAAAGGACAGGGGTAGATTACCTTGTTTTAACGACTCAAGAAATCGGCTTTAGAGACGCAGCCCACTAAATTGCAAACTGAGCGAAAAACCTGAACCTGCACCAAGAGAGTCAGGAGATGTGTATGTGGAAAAACCTTAAAGACCCTTGTAACTGATCGGAAGTCCGAAAGGAAGGTAACGCTCAAGTCTGGTGGTAAAAATCCGAGGATATAAAATGCGTTGGAATCATTTACCCCAACGAAACAAAAGTAACTTTTGAGAATAAAGTTGTTCACTGCTGATAAAACTGAATTGAAGAGATATCACTTCTGAGCGTACTTTCGTTAAGCACAAGTGGGTTACCACGTAAGAGAAAATTGACCAGTACGAGCCCAGGCGGCACTGTAAAATACAAGAGAACAACCTAAGTTCTTGTTAATCTGGAACTAAATTAGTCGACTGATCATTTCTGGCTCATAGCCGTTGGCGCATTGATCGAGTGACCTTTATCGCACCCCCACCCCACCCCCTCCCTTCCCATGTACAACCTCAAAAAATGATAAAAAACATGTAGATGTTTCATTAAATCCACGTAACCAAAGTTGATGGTGGCAGAATCTTGAAATAGGTCAAGGAAAAAACTTGTATCAAAACAGGGACTAATGAATTGATGAGTTTTCTGAAGTCGCCGGTGATAGCAGACGTTTACTTCACTCTTCAATCAGTAGTTCTACAGTTGTGTTGTGTACGCTCCTGCATGCTGGTGTACAGGGAACTTAGCTCCAGCAGCTGTGAAAACATTTACTCTCGTTATCACGAAATTTTAGATTTCAGATTCTCCTTAGTTTATGGCTGATGGTGAACTGATAATTTTCAAACTTTAAGTAAAAGACACAGTTGAGTACTAGATAACCTACCTAGCCTGGATAACACCAGCTACAGCTGTTTTGTTTTGTTTTTGTTTTTGTTTGTTTTTGTTTTTTTTTTATGAACGCATACTGCGATACGAAGCTTCTTATCGAATGTGTCTTTGCATGACTGCAAAGATACTAGATACGAATGACAAAAAAAAAACCTTTTAATCTGCTGAAGTCGGCCTTTAAAGCGCTTTATTTTAAACAGTGGCCAACATCTGAACTTACAACGAGTCCCTATACGTAGAAAGCTGCGCTCATCAGACTGTATTAGACTACAGGTTCCTTTAGAAAAGGGGACCTTTCAAGACACCTCGGCCGTTTTATTTAATATTCTACCAAAGAAACTGAAAACCTGTGACGACTTGCATATTTTTACATCGCGTTTATTTAAATACTTCAAAAAACCGGGCGAAGGCACGCCTTTAGTAATTTTAAATTAGTTTAAGTTTTAAGTGGATACAGACTGGAATGTTTCGCTATTTCAAATTTATGATTGTAAATATTAACTAGGTTTTAGTTGATCCTATAATGTATTTAGTTAGTTAGTGACAGATGAAGAGCCCCTCTGTGGAAACATTGTTAATAAACCCTTTACTTTACTTACTTACCACTTACTTACTTACTTACTTACTTACTTACTTACTTACTGCATGAAGTGACCTTTGCCAAGCGATTAAAAATTGGTCGTGGCACAAATAAACTACCAGAAATTGAAAAGAAGCCCATTACTATTCCGATATACATGAACCACAAAATTCCTACAGCCAATATCAAAAGTAGTCAGTGCATGCTGGGACGATAAGGTGGAACTAATTAACACGAATATGGCATTAACGGTAGCGACGAAGGAAGCAAGGTATACAACATTTGCGATAGGAAAGCAAGCTAAAAAGTGGACGAAGTAAGATACTAGATACGAATGACAAAAACAACTTAAAGTAAGACTAAATATATATTTTTTAGACTACTCCGACCAATAAGTCCAATGTGACTGACTTAACGATTTGCTTTGCGTCAAAATTCAATCAATTTGCGTCCCAATTCAGTATGTGTTTTCCGCCCTTTTTTGAATTTCCAGCTTTATCTCCGTTCCGTCCTTATACTCTCCCTCTAAAAAGGAACTTTGAACCTTTGGTCGTAGCTCCATGGTTCCTAGTATGGCCTCTCCTCGATTTAGTGGTTCACTGAGAGTGGGCTTCAGATAAGTTGGACTGCAGATCAACTGCGAGGTTTGGGTTCGAGCGCTTCGCCTGCGTCCCAGTCTTTACGCTGTCATGTCATGTTGGATGAAACAAGTCATTTCCACAATGAAGATCTCTTATGGAATGGTGGAGATTGGGACATGAGTTTTACACTACCAGAAAACAACTACGAAGACATTACACCGCTTTTGATAATATACGAGTTCGTTTAATGTTATGACGATCTTCAAAAATTACTTTATAGTGTGTTATCAAACTAGCGTGCAAGTTATAGAAGGGAGAGGTAAAAAAGGGTTTCTTGTTTTACAGTAATTTTCGTCACTGTTGAGAAGTGGTTAGAATGGGAGTTTGGTGACTGAGTAAAATCATTCTAGTTCTAGATTGTTCGTATTATAAGTCCGTGAAATAAAGATTTGGAAGTGAGGCAATAGAAAAATTGTCCAGTGTGTGATTCTTTTGAAACAGAGAGAACTGACCGGCTTCCCGTTTTACTAGTAGTTTTAAATCCCACAACTCTCTCTGAACATCTGAAGTCTCTCTCCGAAGGTTAATCTCATCCTCCTCTAGTTTTCTGTAAAGGAAAAGAGTTACCAGGCTTTATACTTTTTATACTTTTTGTAATGACTCAGTGATAGCTTATCTCGAGAGGATGTTATGTGCCACGAAACATTGCGGACTGCAGTTTGTGTGGCACTTAAATAAACGGCCTTTGGATAGAGAAAAGAATGGAACGAGTCTAGTTATAGTTGTTATAGTCGTTCTAGTCTTGTTATAGTTGGTCGACCCGGCTTCTTTTCTAGACTACCCTTGGGAAGTTGACATAACATTTTTCTGAAGACCCCGCCAATGTTTTACAACTCATCAATTTGACTAAACTCTCGATACGACCACCGACCATTTTTTGTATTCCCTTGTAATGTTTTTACCCCGTTTGCACCAACGATATAGTTCTATTAAGGCGCTGCTACCAACTGAGTTCAGGCCGGAAGCCTAGTACCTGGGAGTATCTAGTAGTTGCATTGGGAGGCACCTTTTTAAATGCCGTCGAAGCCTGAATTTCTCTCTCCGTAATTTGGTTGATTCCAGCTCACCTGCTATGATCTATTCTTTATCAATACTTGTATTTTATCAAAATAGTACTAATTTCAACTAAATTGTGATCATTGACAGATTTATTGGGCTGCCATGCTTATAAAATTATTCGATAGCCCATATGTAGGGGATTTTATTTCCCCTTTGAAAATCACGGTTGTTGATCAAATGAAGTACTCGGCATTGCGCCTAACTCACTATCTTCAGTATGCCAACAGTTTTCTTACAAGTATCCTTTTTTGGGGGGTCTGTTTTTATCGGGTTCCAGTTTTATCTATCCATTGGGCTTCCGTGTTCTATTATGAAAATATTCCTCTAGAAAACAGGAAGCATATCACAGGCCTTCCTCCCCATTAACGCCATCCCCCCTCCCCCCCCGTGCCGCTGTGACCGTTTGCTAGCTTCGTCTACAGTAAGTGTCTTTACTACTATTCGAGGGATGTTCTGTCAGGAAAAAGACTTGAGTCTTTGGTCCATATGGCAAGAGAACTTGCTTACCTTACTTGCTCGTCTTGCTCATTGCATCTTTCCTCTGTAGTATCCAGTGCAATTTTCTTTAATAAACTTTCTTTCTTCAAAGACCGAATTTCTTCCTCCATTTTAGCCGTTTTGTTCTCCATGTAGGCTTTCCAAGTCAATGGCATCGAGTATGGGAAAGGTATTCGTTGCTGATCGAGTAGACTGCGTCAAATTGAAGAGAGTAGCGTTAGGAACACGAAGCTGCGTTGGATTTTCTTGTCCGTGAATGCCTTTTAAACGGCATTCGAAACTTTCACAATCTTCCTTGGCAGTGGATCCGTTAATTTTTCATTCAATTTAAATTTTTTATTTTAGGGAATTTTTTACTTATAAAAATGCTTACTTGCTCACAAGCTGGTGTTGTGTCTGAAGAACATCAATGTATTCCTCTGCCTCCTGAAGCCTCTCCTTTAACCTCCTGTTCCAGTAAAAAAAAGTGCACCCTTAAGAAGTGAAGCAATAAAAGTCGCGAGGGGAGTGCGGGAGAAGCCAAGAAACTCTTGGTGGGCAGCTCCAGTATAAAAGTACTTATTTGAAATAAATCCTTTTAATACTGGAGTTGCCCACCAAATTGTGGAAACTCTATAGATTTTCTTCCCAAAGATTTTGTTTCAAGGACCCGCAAAGTTCTTTATAAATTCGGAGCAATTCTTGATCATTTCGAGTTATCATTCAGAGTAATATTAAGCCGCGTAAGTATAATTAACAATAATAATTGAGTGAGTAATCAAAAAGAAGAATTAGAGGTCTTGAAGAACAGATGATAAATACATTTATCCTAGAAGGCTAGTTAGTACTTGGAAAAGGTTCGAAGACGACACCTTGGCCGTCTGGGATAGTGAAAACTATGACTGTACATGCTAGTAGCATCTGCACTATCACAACCTTCCTTTCGCTTCACCATAGAGACTGACGGGATCACTCGCCCTCCTTGACACCGCAGTTACAAGAGAAGCGAACCTGACAGGCGCCTCATTACCGCCATACACGGGAAGCCTAGGCACACTAACAATACTTAGCGAATGATTCTCTCCATCCATAATCAACAAATCGCGGTATTGTCAAGTGAATATACGAGCGCAGCACTTGAACCGTCTCGGGGAAAAAAAAACCCCTCTGTCACACCTAAGGAGAACAAGCATATATTATCTAAAATCTGTTCTTGCTTCTAATGTGTATCCTTCCTTCCTCTCGCAAAAATTAACGAAGACCTGGAAACGGACCACCAGCGCTAGACCGGCCACCGAGTTCAGATCCATTGCAGTTTTAATAACGTCTTTCCAAATAACTTAAGCGCAACCATACAACAACAAGCTTAGGCGCTCAGTGTTTTCAAGTCGTAGACTACATCAAGGTTGTACTTAATACTGGCAAAAGACGCCGTTGACGCGACTAGATAAGATGGCGTGGCAAAGCGCAGTAAAGTTTAAATTGGGGAAACTGGCAGACCTATGCTGGAGAGAATCAAGGACATGACAAAGATATCCAACTCATCAGGACACAGATCTCTGCCGTCATTTCCAGAGCACGCTTACATTAACGAACACCGCCTCTTATGGGAAAATATGAGATGTATACAGTTGATCGTGATCCCCATCGTTACATACTTAGTGTAAAAGAAGCGATCCACAGAAGACTTGAGTGATTTAGGGCGCTGAGAAATCGAAGTTTTAATTTTGAGAATACATTATTTACAGTAAACTGCACTTTTCAGCAGGCATAATGCTCTACCTAAAACTAAAGCTGTAAGGTTTGTTGCTGTTTACAGAGAATTTTCTTTTTACGGTTCGCTACTTCCTACCATCCTGTAGAAGATTTTCTTGAAGAAACATCCCATGATAATCTTGCTTATACGAAATGGAAGATGTGGTCTAGACACATACTATCTGATCAAGGGAACACCCCCTGAACATGTTTTCTTGATCTGATACTAACGTGAACGCTTCGATAGAATATTTTTCCGTCACATTTTTATCACAATTCACTGTTTTCTGTGTTTTTGCACGTGAAAAAAAA